ACTGTGAAAAATATGACGTTTCTCAAATGTTACATCTAGAAAAGTATTTCTGGTGTGGCTCTCATTTCATAACATACTGTAAAGTGACTGTAAAGACACTCTACAGTTCTTGAAAGAAGTGTTGAACCAGTTACATTTACATTAAGGCATTTAGTGCACAATTCAGAGGGATTTTAAGTGCTTTTGTTTCATACAGTGGGATCCAAAAGTGAGCAAGAGTGCTGTAGTTTAATCGCAGCTCTGCTGATATTTGACCAAAAAAAAACAGCGAGAGTGAAATTACTTTTATACAAATTCCACATGAAATCCCAGCAAAACTGTTGCACGTCTCAAAGCAACACACAGCTGTTTCGTTCCTGAATGTTTCAGCTTTTTTGAATAATCAATAGAGTGAATAATTCAATGACTCACTCACACAGTCAGTGTGTCAAATCGCATACTGAATGTACTACATTTGAATTTGCTTTGTGATCGTTAAAAAAGTATGTTGTATAGTATGAATATGGCCAGAATGAATGAAATTCAGACACTCTGTGTTGTTACTGTCACATGACCTACCAGCGTCAGTTGTGTCGCTTCACTGCCATTCATAAACTCTCTCCCTTGGCCTCATGGGATAGTGTCCATCAAATGGGCATTTCAGAATCTCACCAGAAGTAATAGGTCAACCAGGTCTGCTGTTTTTCAAATGTATGTATTCGGACATACTACTCTTTTGCTGTACTGTTTTACGCATATAGTAAGGAAGTATTTATTTTCGGATGCAGTGTTCCACTTGTTTTTATTCCTGAATGAATCAGTGTTTTCGAACAAATCGGTTGAATGAATGATTCAGTGACTCACTCATGAAAATTAGTCACTTGTTGCTATCTACTGGTGTATTTTATGAGCAATATCACATTCGTAGATGTGCGATATGGCTGTATATCAGCACGGCTGTGATTTGGACGTATGTAATCAAGGCGCACAGCTACTGTATGAGTGTGGTATTGCGTTTATAAAACATTTCAACAACACAAGTGTGTAAAAGAAACAACAATGGAGTGTCTTTAAAACCCTCTTTTGTGCAGAACTACTCCTTCCGCCATTGATTCAAATCTCAAGTTGACAGTTTAACAGTTGAGCCCAAGCCTCCGTTACTAATTCTAAAATGTCACCGTAAGGAAGGAACGTTGAGTCGCTTCATTGAAGCTTATTGTATTATGAAGAGTAGAGTATTATGACAGAGAGATCGACCAAGCGAGTGCATTACCTGAATCTAGCTGATATTCTTCAGGTCAATTATAATCACAAAGTCCCTTTGAATGTCTGCCGAGGAAATCTTTGTCTTTGACCATTTAACAGTTAATGGGATTTCCAATGACAGCAAGCCAATGCATTTGTAAGCAGGCTAGTTTCTAATTGTTAAAAACCTTAAGTCCCTTTCAATTTAAAAGTCTGCTCCTGACTCACTGGTAAAGACAGTCTTTGCTGCCATCTAATGGTTTAATAATGTAGCTAACTTTCACTGAAGTCGAAATCACAATAACAAATTTCTCAATACCAAATACTGCATGTTATTTACATAAAATTTCATTTATTTGAAAAATAATATTTAAATAAACAATATCAGCCATTATAAAAGTATAAGGAGTTGGTACGATAGGAAATAAACATAAGCAAACAGTTCAGTCAAAAGTACAAAAGCAGCACTAGTACAGAATTTCAGTTAAATATAAAGTTATGAAACTAAACTTTGCCCTTGGCCAAATCGATATCTTCTGGAAAAAGTAGGCCTAATAAATGAATAAGACCAAAGATTGCATGCTCGATATACCCAAAATGAATAATACCTCATGCTTAAACTATGTAGCCTATATAAGCAGCAAAATCCTGGAGACTGGACGAGATAAAGCTGTTCTCGGCGGGTACATGAGCACTGAACGGCCGTTGACAGTCTGGACCATACGTTATTCACCTATTTGAGGTCTAAATAACTACATTCTCTTCTCACCTAGAAAAACTCTTAGAACTACATTCCGTGACACAATAACAGTATAATAAATTATGGTGGGTTTGCTCATCCGCCATGAAACTCTGTGAGAAATGTTACAAGCGGAGTGATACAAACGGTGAAACGGTTCCAGTACTGATACTGTGGGAATATCGCATGGCTGGGAGCTCTCAGCCAATCAAATTCAGATTCCAGTTTAATAATAATAATAATCAAATACAGGCAGCAATCCAAACGGGTAGTACACACCCTAAATGTAAACGTAACACTACCATACACGATCAACCGACAACTAAGACTGAAAACTGAGGAACTAAATACACAGAGATAACGAACTAAATGATGAGCTGCTGTGTTGTAGGATTAGTGTCCAATTAAGTTCGGCATGTTTTGAAGGACTCATCGGATGTATCCTTCGCGGCCTTAAATACCCCACAATCCTTTGCACTGCACATTCCAATTCGCAAAAATAAACTGACGGAAAACGAGTCTGTACTGAGCTTGTCTGAGTTTATTATGAAATGTTAGACAAAAGTAATGTTTTTTGACATGAAAGCATAGCCTAGATGTTAACTTTTGTTTGCTGTAAATTAATCACTAACACTATAAACTGCCAATAATGTAAGCCACTGGGAGACCATCGTCTGTATTGCATTAATAAAAAGCCAGTTAATATATATTAATTTTTAATAGTATTTTTGTGCTGTGACGTAGCCATGCGCTCTTACTAGACCGCCTCATTCTAGCGTTTAATTGCTGTGGAGGACTTTATTAGCCTTATATTTTCAGAAGGACTGAACTAGATTCCGGATACGGAACTCGGCAGGATGTAGCTTTCCGTTTGAGAAACACCTTGAAAGTCCATGAAAGTGAAACTAAAGATGAATGAGTCCAGATAACTGTGACATAACTTAAATTATTGGACATATTTTTCATTGTAGGTTTATATTAAAGGGGTCATATAATGGTACATGCACTTTTACAAGTTGATTGTACTGAAATGTGTGTTGGCAGTGCCTGTACACAAACATCATAAAATGATAAAAATCCATCCAGTGTTTTTGTTTTAATCTCCTTATATGTTTTCCCCTGTCTCAAATCGAGCCGTTCGCCCGTGTGACGTCACACGGTCGGACGCCCCTCCCGCGATTGTTGATTGACAGCCGGGTTTCAACACAGACCCGCCCTCGCTCGTGAGCGAGCTGTCAATCATAGTCCGCGCGACCGGCGCGCTCATTGTTGATATGCTGGAGCACTGTCTATGAGCAGAATGGCGTCTAAGCGATTTTGGTGTTCTGTTCTTGGGTGTAATAACGAACACAGTCATTTTAATGTTCCTAAATCCGAACCGCTGAAGACGCAGTGGTTGAGTTTGTTTTCGAAGGGAATATTCCCCACGAGCAACGTCAATGCTTTCATATTTGCGCGAATCATTTCACACACCAGACTGCTTATAAACGAGGAGGGTCAGTATAAAGCTGGTTTTGCTAAGAAGCGGCTCCTGGACCGGTACCAACTATTCGTGTTCCTGTTGAACCTCCAAAATAACTGAAGTGAGAGTAACGTTTTATTAATCTTTAATATTTATATGAATCTTTGCAAATCGCTAGATGCACGCTTCACAATGAATGCGTCTAAGGTTTACACTCAGGGTACATTACGGCATGTTTTCTATGTACGAGGTTCTCAATATAATTCATAATCCCACGTTTATACTGAACAACGCGTTATGGTTATTGTGTTACAAACGGTGTACGCACAGAACAGAGAGGCGGGGTGAGCAAAGCTCATTATCATTTAAAGTCATATGCACTGAAACGGCGTGCTGAAAACAGAGCTGTTTTTGACCAGGTAAAATAAGTGTTTTCTTACAATACTAATGATAATTTTTAATTAAAGTAGATTACAAAGTTTTAATTTAGACTCTAAAGAATCATATTAGCTTGTACAAAAATGGCATTATATGACCCCTTTAAAGGGCATATTGCAGGTTAGGACCCAACGAGTCAATGTATAGACAAATAATGTACTAACTAGATTTTATACTTATACTTACAAAAAATATATAGGCCTACTTATAAATTCGCTACAGAGGCTTCTGGAGTCGTTTTTGTGAGAAAATGTTACTCCCGCATATTAATTACTATGATTTTGACTAATGTTAACTAACTAATTAACAAAATAATTTTGTGCTGTGATGAACAACACCATTGCGAATACAAAAATTAGAATGAATGTTTAAAACATTTGCATACTACTCAGAAACAGAAAGTAGCCTACCACAGATGCTTTGTTTACGAGGTAACCAGGGTAACAGCTGGATTTCTACTGCTCCATCAGCGCCATCTGTTGTCCGAGAGGGAACGTGCATTTTTCATTCACTGCGTCTCCTTCACTTGTTCCGCTATGCGATTCTCATGCGTGTTGCACACACACACACACATGCCTCTTTAACGCAGCATACAGCGGTGTTGTGCACTTTGCTGGTTGATAAAGTATTCTTAAAATGCATTCTAAAAATCGGAATAATTCGTAATGAATAATTATTCAAGGTATTTTAAAGTGCCGCACGTTAACAATACCGTGCATGTTCATTATCGTGATACATCGTAGGCTATTAACGTATATTTGCACGTCTAATTTAAATTATTTTATATTAATATAGGCCTACGCCTACCACTAAATTGGTGAATGTTTTAAAAAGTGACTTGTGACCAATAGTGCAGCATCTGAAATATTCCTTCAATTTACTTCATAGAAATGGTTTTTGTTTTTTCAGAAAAAATCTAAATCCTGAAACTTTCCGAGCATTTTCAAGTTCCGAAGACAGAAGCCCAAATTCTCATTGCAGTCTCAGACTTTGGACCCCACTGTATACACTCAACAGATGGCAAGCGTGTAATCTAAGACGGACACTTTCTTACTTTTACTTCAGTGTTTACTTCCCTATAAACCTCACTTGATAAGGCTATAGTCTACACCAGACAACCACTGACACCTGGCAACGTGACAGTGATGGTTTTAATCAGCTTACAGGTCAGAAATGCTGGAGGACAGAAGCACTGACATTTATATAACTACTTTGACCTTAAAGTGAGCACAGATTGAAGGCACTAGTGATAAATGCAGCCATAAACCAGTCCTGGGCTCTGAGCTTGAAAGCATCATTAAAAGCAGGCTTAGGAAAAAGGTCATATTCATTCACAGTTTTAGTGTAATCACGTTCATGGGAAATACATTTGTAATTTCCATACATGTCAGCATTCATGGCTGGGATGAGGAGGAGGCATTCTGATTGAGTCTGCTGGCATGGGCTTCTCTTGTGCCCATGTTCCCATATATAAGTGGCATGATTGGAATCAACAGGACAAGAGAGATAAAACGGGACATCAGTGGCCACAAAGTGTCGGATCGGAGCCGTCGATGATTGTTGCACATCACGTTTGAATCTTCCCACTGAAAAAAACATTTGTTAAATAAAGATACATAAGTTAGGAACATGGTTTTGTCTTTTGTCGTAAAATATTTTTTTACCCAAAAGAATTATGTGATTATTCTTAAAGCATACCTGTTTTTTGGTGACATACGTTAGTCAGTCCATCAGCAATGTTTTGTATTCCTCCTCTGAAACAAAACACAAAATTATTTAAAACGGCTAGGGTGTTGTAGCAGGTTGCCAGGGTGTTGCTATGGAGTTTCTAGCCCAGCAAACAGAAAACGTTCTCAGAACTTTGGCTAACATTGTGGCAAGGTTCTCTCAAAGTTATGAACAAACGTTGTTCCAGTAATGTAAATAGAACGTACGTTTAGAGTTATCTGGGCCCGTTGCACCAGCTGGACCTAAAAACGTTGGACAATATGCGTCCAAGTTCTACCGCAGTGATTGTCCCTGGCTGCTTATTAAAAGTGTGAGCAAGCTACATAGTCATAGAGGACTACGGCAAATGTCAAAGTGCTCATTCTAATTCTGACTGACTGAATTCACTCGGTACAAATTAGATTTTTGTGCATATCTGATTGAAATCCGATCAGATTTAGCAAGTGTGAACGGCAAAAAACATGAATTTTACAAATCCATTTCGAGCTACATTCATATGAATTTCTGGAAATCTGCTTCAGTCTGATCGTATTTAAGGGGGGTGGATTGGAATCCACTGTTGCTTCAATGTATATGTAATGAATGAGTGAAGGTATTAATCAATATTTTTCCTTCTAAATATCAAATGAGTTGAATGACTTCTCTAGGCTTGTGAGATTTTACTTTGTTATAGAAGTTACCAGTGTGATTACTGAAATGTTCTTTTCATGGATTCTTTAATGTCTGTATTTGATATCTCAATGCAGCAACAGTGCTTGCTCATTTAGCCCGGCTTCCAGAAATGAAATACGGACTTGTTTTGTGTTTGAGAAAGGTCTTCAAAGTGTTCAAACATATAGGGGTCATTGAAGCCAATCGTTTAAGGGACAATTTCTTTGTTAAAGCCTTACTTTGCAGTTAGACTAAAGTCTAGCTATCCTTGAGAGAAAGAACGCATTATCTTGATGTTTTGAAACGACTCTCCTGTTTATATTTAGAGCCTGGCCAAATCCAACTTTGGAAAAGCTGTGTGTCAGTGTGTGTGTTAGTCTTCTTGATTGCAGGTTAAGGAACCCCTGGCATTATGGGAGATTGACTGACTGACGCCCAGCAACCCAAATCTGCGACCTGGAAGGTCATGACGTGTCTAAACGTCACAGGGTCTGAGTGTCGGCTGCATAATCTATGGAGATATGCTTCAGTCTATCTGTATATGTGAGGAAAATTACTTAGACTATATGTGTTCTTAGCCAATCAGAAACTGCAACCTGAAGCAAGGACGTAGCTTAGACCTTGGCTTGGTAAATGGTATAATTGCTGTGATCTTTGTCTACGAACTCCTGTGAGAGTCTTGAAGCTGACTTCTACTGACGAAACTGCAAACTATCTTCAGTAAATCTTTTCTTTAATTTATCATAATTCTGACTCCGGGTCTTCATTCATCATATCTGGTTCTGGGTCTTTAACCATTTACCCCTAACAGTATTTCACGTGGTTTATGTGAATTTCTCAAGCTTTACGTAAAACGTAAACGCCAGACGTTGTTAACGAAAACAAGGTTGTGTTGTTTCCAAAGTGCCGGGCGAGCAGAAAATGACACTATAACCGAGACATGTTGTCTATGTGGCTGTTGTTGCTTTTGGTGCATTAACGCGACGTCATTACCATAGAAACCAATGCAGATATTCCGGAAAACAAAAGAGCACAAGATTTAGAATAATCCGTTGGGTGAATAATTCAATGACTCACTCACAAAGACAGTGTAGTACCTACTCAATATGTGATTTTGGACACATTTGAATTTACTTTGAGACCGTTATAAAGTGTTACATATAGTATGAATCAGTTTCAGTTTTCGTTTATGAAAATAACCTTACGACTAAAACTATTGGTCAAAAAACATTTTCGTAAACTGAAATAAAATAGAAATTTCAACATAAATGAAAAACTAAAACTAAACGAAACTAACAACAGTTACTGAAAAACTAACTGAAACAAAATTAGGCTATAATAATTAGCAAAAATAAATAATCGTTTTCGTAATTAATAAGCTCTCATCCTGTACCGGAAAATCACTTTTTTCCATTCCACTGCTACTTTATTCAATGTATGGCCGCTGCGCTCGAGTCTCGCGCCTTTTGCAGCATCACGTGCAAGACACAACGTTGTAAAAACGCAGCACACTCAATTTAAGATAAGTTCAACTTTTAAATGACGCTTATGGAGACCTTGAGCTTTTTCCCCATTCCACTGCCCACGTCTTTTTTTCCGTTTTTCAAAGCAAAACCGCTTTCTGTGTGAACCAGCCCTAAGAAGCAGAACTGGCCAAATAAGTAATTCCATCACGTCTAGACCTTATACAAATACAGATGTACCTTAATTCCAGGTAAGATAAACATCTAATGTGAAACTAGCCTAAACAAGTTAGGCCTACCACACATATTAGACAAGATTCCACACTGAGCAGAAAACAGAAAAAACAAATAGTCTATAGCCCAGAACCTACAGACCTACATTTGTTCAAATAGAAGTATACTAAATGTCTGGTCTGAATAGAACATTTGAATATGAGTATATGATTTTAAACGATGCAATAGACAAAAAGCATAAATGGATAAATACAAGAATAGTGTTTGAAAGGATTAATCATAGAAATAACCTTAAAGAATAATCATAAGCTTATCTTTTTCTTTTACACCACGTTTAACAAGATTTAATATGAATGAATAATTTTTACTTTTTAGTTGCATTTGTTTGGTTCTTTGTTCATCCTCAAAAAAAATTTGTTTATTAGTTTTCACAAGAGTTGTACTGCAAACATTAAACTTTGCTGAAATTAAATGTCTTTAACTGGAAGTGTTCTGTTAACTCTGCTAAACTATAATTACTAAAACTGAAACTAAATATATAAAAACTAAATAGAAATGTGTTCACAAAATAAAAACTAAACTAAAAACTAACAGAACCATTAATGAAACTAACTAAAACTAAACTGAAATTTATAGGAAATCTGAAAATGATATTAAAATAAAATTAATTTAAAAATCGCAAAACTATAATAACCTTGGTATGAATATGACCAGAGTCATTGAAATTCAGACGTAGATCATGGTAATAACTTGTGCAATATTACTAATGTAGAGTTTACAACGTGCAATATTATTAATCTATTTTATCTTTTATGTGTACTTATTTAAATTAGAAAGTCTATTTGTACATGGTCTCTTTTTTTGCACTTTTAAAATGTTTGCTGCTCCTTGCTCTCCCTTAAAATTATATTTTTTATAACGAAGCGACTGAGAAACGCACAATAATTCCAATGTACCTGTACTGTAACGTACCTGTGCAAATGACAATAAACTTTAAACTTACACCTTTTAGAATTTCATTAATTAAGGTGAAATTCAGACATTACAGTTATAACTGCAGTAATAATTCATTCACAGACATGAATAAATAAATAAAACACTAATAAAAGAATAAAAAGATAACGCATACTTTGTTTGTGACGTGCAGCCTCGTTCAGTCCAAGCGCAGTATGGATCGCGGGAAAGAACACATTCCTCACAGGAAGCATTGTAGTCTCGACATCTCTGCAGGTCTAACACGGACAACTGACCAGGACATCCTACGAACAGCTTCTTCTGCAGATAAAAACGACAGCAGTGAAAACAAACACATTCTGAAGAGTCGAAATGGATGTTATTTTTGTTTACAAAGTGTTCAGTGATTCACAAGGCTGCTTGATTACAACACCTTCTTGCAAAGCGTGCATAGTTCGACGAAACACAATAAGGCTGTGTTCTTTTTTTCATCGCATAATTTTCCCTCATTGTCCGTAGCAGGCATTCCTCAAGTGTAGGAAGAATTTAATGACGCCATTTAAATGTGATGTTCTTATTTGCAGCAACTAGGAGTATTCGTAGGAGGTACATTCTCTTCTCTCTATTTATTAAATCTAGTTTTACTCCCAAAATAGCTATTAAGTGTCTCTGGACAAACTAACCTGAACAGAGTCGAGTTTCATTGATTGTATGGGTGCCGAGCCGTTGCACAGATGCGTTTCGGAGATGATAAAAGCTTCGGAGCCGTCCTCCAGGATCTTGAGGATTTCGCCATTGTCTAAGAAGAGCAAAGACAATGAATGGGAGTAAGGCAGTCTGTGGTCTGAAAGAACTAGTGAGAACATTTATTGTAAGCAGGTTCAATAGTAATTTAAAATTGACAGTACAAATAATGGAAAACTTATTAAGGATGGAATACACTGCACGACCTTTGCACTGATTATTTCCCCGATTTGCGGTCTAGAGGAGTCACATGTTGCTGAAAATCAGTCAGTCTGTAGGTTTTGGGCAGTCCGAGTTGACAGATTTAGCATAAAATCATGTAGTGTATGATGGGCACATACAATGATTTTAAGCCAGATGCTAAATATACTGGGAAATGAGCACTGACGAGGACCGTGATGATGCCGGTATTAAACATCTGCTCAAACTGAACCCTTCCAAGCTCCAAACTGTAACAAAATATAGCCTACTTTATTTTGTTCTTCTGTAATTGTTACTCTTAATACTAGGAGAGTTTTATATCATCGCGACAGGTAGAGATCCATCCGTGTTTGATATGTAAAAGACCTGAATATGTAATAATGATTGGCGAAACATTCATGCATTTAAGGGTTAATAATACAAAAATCTCATTCTAAAGGGAACATGTGACGAGAAAACAAATTTACCTTCATCTTTTGAAATAAAATAGTTAATTATACTCTGAAAGTATCATTTAAAACTTCATCCCGAGTCCAAAAAGGACTGCGGTTTTTGGCTGTGTGTGTAGCACCAGCTCTGCACATCCTTCTGAAGGATCCCATGCTTACAAAAGAGTGGCTGAAGTTTATAAAAGTTTCACCATGGGTTGTTGAAACATCAGCAAACCAGTAGCTTGTGCAACCAAGAGCTACATTTAATTTGAAAGCCAAATGGAGTGTTTCAATTTGAGACTTGCACAGCAGCAGCAAAAAAAAAGAAAAAAAGATTGGAATTTTAGGGGTCAGAGAACGTTTTCTTGTGCAAAGAACTTTGACTATGATTTCAGCAGGGGTTCAAAAAAATGATGCAATTGCATAATACGACCCCTTTAAGCAGGAAAAAAACAAGACAAAAGCCGGTAATGAGGGAAGGGCTTTTTATATCAAGTGTATTGTTATTTTCTCTGGTATGAAGGAAGTCACAAAGCAAACATCATTCAATATACAGTAATCTTGAACCAATTTACCACATCCATGACATGTACCTGTTGCAAGCAGCAGCACATTGTGCATGTTTTCATCTGAAGCTTGGACTCGGTCAACAGCTATCTTGGTAAAGTTCTTATTACTTGTAAAGAAAGGTGTGTCTTGTTGAATGGGATGAATCCAGTCCTCCATCTCTGGATAGTCTTTAATAATATGGAGGTCGGGGACTGGAATGGAATTGCTGTTTTTCACACACTGGAAAAGATTGAGTTAAATCAGTTATAATGGCATTTCAGTTAGCAGCATTGTTTGAGGTCTGAGGTTATAACCATCTCATTGTTACCAAGACAAAGGCCATGGCAAAAAATGACTGCGTATTTCCTCAAGTATAAGATTTAAAATAGCTATTGTGTGGAAATGATAGCCTTGGCTCACCAACAATGACTATAGAAAAAAACCATAATGATTCACCTTTGGGTCAAGGGTAAAATGATTGAGGAAGTTGTTGGGCATAAACAGATACACAAAAATAAAACTTAGGAAAAATGTAAATTAAATAAACATTTGCAGTGAACAGGCTTCACTTTAATCAAAGGTTACTCAATACAGTTTTTTTAACAATGTTTTAAAGCAAAAAATAGGATGATCCCATTTGCGATGGACACCACAAGCACAATATTACAAAAATGTTTGGTAAATGCTAATATATTTACACATTTATTCATTAAAATGGTTCTGTGTTCATTTTTAATTTTCATATTACTAAAAATATTATTTTAATGATTTTTTTTCCACAATTAAGTTTTTCTCCACAGACCCCCTTGCGGCCACCTGGGAGTCTCCGGGCGCCAGTTTGACTCAGAACATTGTCATCTTAGAAATAATACCACAATACCAGTTGAGCTATTCATCACTAGCAAATGCGGACAAATCTGGAAACAATATGTGGAATATTGTTGACACGCTCATGGAAAGGTCTTGTGGTGTTTGTGAATGCTAGGACACTGAAAATAAAAACTTCCCTACACATTATTTGACCACAGTGGTTAACTGATAGGTGTTGTAATGCAGCGCAAAACCAAAAGAGGGCAAACAAACAGGACAAACTATAAGATAAACCAAGATGTTTATTCAGATTATTATGGAAGGGAATGTTGTTGCTCACCGTTCCTGGTCTTGGGCTGGGAATGGCCTCAGTATAACCTTTGAAGGAAGATTTCTCAAAAACATAGTCAAGATCCTTCAAGTAGTATATGCAGACAGCAGTAGAGTTCCTATGCAAATGTTAAAAGAACAGATTGTTAACACACACACATGTATATTTTATGCTTGTTTCCAAAGAAGAACATTCTTAACAAGAGGCAACAGAGAGTAAATCCTATTTAAATATCAGAAGATAATGCAGTGTTTACCAGCTGCTGGAGAAGAGCGCATACACTCGCGACTTCCTCCAGTCCTCGGCATGCTGGACGAAAACGTCCTGTAGGCGGTTGAAGTACAACGACTCGCTAGGAATCCCGCAAACGAGTCGTGCCTTCAGGAAGGAGGTCCAGATGTTCTGGAGGAACAGCTTGGGACCGCCCTCATCAACCTATGAGAGATTGATATCTTCACAGGTGGAAAATATTCAGCTGAATTCCAAGCCCAGATAAAAATGTAAAAAACACTTATAATACTAGATGGTTTATGAAAATAATGTTTTAATAACATAATGGGAACGTTAGCAAACTGTTTTCATGCTTGGTGGTGGGTGGTGATGGCGCAGTGGATAAGACACATGCCTTTGGTGTGAGAGACCTGGGTTTGAATCCACTTTGAGACAACAATGTGTCCCTGAGCAAGACACTTAACCCCTAGTTGCTCCAGAGGCGTGCGACCTCTGACATATATAGCAATTGTAAGTCGCTTTGGATAAAAGCGTCAGCTAAATGTAAATGTAAAATGTATGCTTGTTTCTAGAAATCTATCTATCCAACAGTCATGCAGTCATGGCTCTTCTTTCAGTGCTATCAGCAAAGTTATTTGTAAACATCAGCTGAAACAAAAGGCGCTGAAATAAGAGCGATGACTGCATTGCGGGAATTGACTAGTTGGACGCCAGGGAGGCGTGCATTCCTGGAATCAAATTTCAATCTCCGTCACAGCTTTTGTCTTTGTAAGACTTCTCTTTACCACCTCCGCAATAATCATGGTATCCAATCTCTGACAAGCAAATGCCTTTATATGTTAAGGTAGAATGATGAAATTGCTTTTGAAGGTCACTTTTTCCATAATAATTTCTCTCAGACACATGTAGGAAGCCTCATAAAGAACCGACACATCTTTCATATCCAAGTGAGAAACATACCTTACAAACTCTGGCAACTCTAGATATCCAAGGATCAGCTTCTGGGCTCGTGTCCGAGTTTTTTTCACGAAATAAGACGTATATCTTCTCATTCAAGGAGTCATTTTTGCGCTCGGCCAGAAAACTGGAGATAAAAGTGGGTTCTGTGGGGGAGTCCATATAAGTCATGAATTATTTCTTTATTCATTCCACATTTTTACTCATTTCAATGAAACTCAACCTAGGGTGTGACTAGGGTGTATAATTTGATAACTGATGACTCAAGGTCAGCGTTTCTCAAGCTCAGCCAACTCTGTCAGCAAAACTAAAGTGGATTCTCTATATAACATTAGAGGAAGATCTACGAGTTCAATTAGACTAATCTGTCCTAAGTTCATTAAATCTTAGGGAACATTTGGAGATGTCCTCAATAAGAAAAGCAGTTCATACATAAAATACGTGTTTGTCTAAAAATGCTAAAAAGTTTTCTTCTAGTAATTAAATGGGTTAACAGTATATTTGAAAATATACAGAATAATATATTGTGTTAATATATTACAATATATTGAATAATACATAAGGAATTGCCGCTTTTCATATATTGAAAAATACGTGACAATATATTTACTAATCATAATGCATGTAATTTTATATTCAGTGATACACTTCATAATATATAGATGTATTTGTGATCAGATTTGGTACTGCATGTGTAATATATTGCAGATATATTTACTCATGCAACATAAACACACATGTAATCTTATATATTTTTTAATTATTTACATTATAACTAGTTGACAACAGCACAAGCACACCTGCATGTACTAAAGTATTTAGCCAAGAAACTATCACTGTGATGAGGAGTGCACAGTCATTACTTTTAAAAATAGAGTACAGTCTTAATGGACTTCGACCAATCGTCAACCGAACAACAGGCTCTACCCGTCAGCACAATGGTAACCCCGAAAACTCACAGAAATAATAGAGCATTAAACACTAACAGATCTCCCCCTATATTAATATTGAGTAAAACACATTAAATAATGCTTAATTGTAACATTTGCTCTCCTTTAACAGTCGGAAGCAAAGCATGCTGGGAACTAGAAATCTGTTGTAAGTAACTCATTCCATGAATGTGTGTGTATATATATGTGTGTGTGAACATACATTCACATTTATATGGGCACATGTATGTGCAATATATGTACACAATAAAGGATAAAACTTTGTGAATATTACATGTAATGCTATTTTTGTCTTCATTTATAAATATTTCATATTCATTAAAGCTGCAGTCAGCCGTTTTTCCTCTTTGTCGCCATCTCTGTTCGAAATCTGCTATTGCAGTCATTCCCCTCGACACCGCCGCACATATATATTTATATATATTTTATATATATAATTTTTTTTTTTTTTGTTTTAGTACATCAAGTTAAACCTAAAGCTGCAGTCTGGCGTTTTCTCTCTTTGTCGCCATCTCTGTTCGAAATCTGCAATTGCAGTCATTCGCGGAATTATCAACTTTACGTGAGTTACTTCAACACCCTCGACACCGCCGCACAGCTCGGATGAACACAATGTTTGAGAAGAGTGTGAGGCTGTCAGTCACCACACCGGTGTGGATACTGGCATTCAGAATCACAGATTATTATTTTTGGAAGTATGACCAACATAATAATTTCCCCCAGAAAATGTCATCTGAACTAGTAAGTAACATCCACTTTTGTTCTGGTTCTGACATTGCAGTAAATCGCGTTGATTAAATTTAAAAATCGCTTATCATATCACGCAAAACCGTGCAAATTATACTTTGTTCTCAAATTGTTAATGTTAACAACGTCAGCATTGTGTGACTACATGTAATGTTCTTCCGATATTATCCTTGTTTTCGCATGGGTCCGGTTGCAGTCTCTTTTTTTCTGTAGCCACTCCGAAGTCCGAACGAAGTCTTTTGCATTTTACAGCGGGTGAATCTCTAGTTGTCACTGGTGATTGTCGTTTGAACCTTTCTGGATCCGCCATCAAACTGATAAGTTTAATTATATCAAGTGCTGTGAGAAAAGGCTATAAATCTCCACCTCCAACATCCTCACACGCAATATAGCCTACTAGCCGAGACTCCTTCTTTATGTGTACAGATGTGACGTAATGACGCAAAGACATGCTCGAATCTCCCGTGGAAATCCACCAGTACCACTGGAGTTAAAAACATTATTACAAGCTTACCGCATTGAATCGAGCTACGGCAAGCAGATAGTTTTGAACACTGGCTGGTTATGTGTTTTCTCAAATATGTATTTTGGATCATTTTTAACCCCCCAAAAAAGCTACGGACTGCAGCTTTAATAGCCATACATGGTCAATACATATATTGCAGTATATTGAAAAATATAAGCACTAGTTTCCCATATATAATCTATTATGTAATATAACGCATCATATTTTGCAGTATATTCCCATATATTTTTGCACCAACCTGAGACCCATTGGTCATGCATCCATACGCTGATTCGATTTCCAGCTTTTCTTCGAAACTGCAGCAGGGTTCCATCACTGTAAAGAGGAGCTGCTGCATAGAGGTCTCCATCTGAACATATAAAATGGCAACATTCATTACGAAAGAGCTGAATCACCTTCTCGGATCTGTCTATCTGCTTAATGAAAGCCTATTTTAGATAAGCATGTACAATCCTCCAGCTCATTCACAAAGCCTATGCAGATCAAAATATTAAGCGGCTTGTGCTCCGCACTTACCTGCCATCAGAGACAGCGAGTTCTGTGTACATGTGTGAGGTGAGATCCCTGTGCCGTCTACCTCGGTGGAATGATTGCTTTCTGTGGGAAACTTTGAAAAGAGACAATCATTTTAGAGAGCAGCGATATGGCAAGCCATTTGAACATTTATTCATTTGCATGATATGAATGAAAGAGATCTACAATTGAAAAAACAATTACAAATGTACTAATTAAAATTAAAGTTGAGATGTCAAGAATTTCTGCAAGTGCTTACGTCATTTTTTATATTAAGAATTCACATTTTTGCAAGTAATAACTGATATCGAAAATTGGCATTTTACAAGTAAAAATGATCATCTTATATCAGGAATTATTTTAAGTAGTGAAGTTTTAAATGTTGATATCAAAAATTATTTTTTCTCGGAATTATTAAAAGGCAAATTGGCGTTTGAACTAGTAAGACATTGGTTCTCAATCACATATTTGAGCGTTAGAATGTAAATGTCACACAGAAATGACTTCATATTAATACGTTTTCACTAAAGTTTATTTTATTTGTGGTAAAATTTACGACAAGCTGAAACTAGACATGCACATAAAGTACATAAAAATACACTGTAAAAAAAGATGCTGCCTTAGTTTTTTAAGTACAATAATTTTGGATGTGTAAGTCATTTCAACTTGAATTACATTAAACTGACTTTAAAAAAATTATCACTTGATCACTTACACACACATGCGCGCGCGCACACACACACACACACACACACACACACACACACGTGTGTTTACTCTTCACTCATGTCCCTATCAGCTGTTTTTTGTTGTTGGTTTTATTTACTAATAATTCGTTTTTTATTCTAAAGTTAATCATTTTATACATTTGGATTATTGAAATAAATATGTAATTGCAATCAAGTCTTTTCTTTTAGTGGCAACTTATGTGGCATTATTGCAAATTTATGTGGCATTGTTGCAATAACAAGACACTTCAAAAGACCTTGAACAACAACAACAAAAATCTAAACTTTGACAAAAATACTGATTTAATATATTTTAAAATGTTTAAATATACATTCATAACAAAAGCTGTTATAAGAGCAGTTAGTCACATCCAGAAAAAATGAAAGTAGCCTCTGCTGGAAGTATATGGTTATTACACTTTCTGGCTAAAACTATATCGTCCACAAAAAAAAAAAAAACTCCTAACCAGCAGATGGCAGAGTTATGCATCTAACACCTATCCAGAAACGAGTCATATTTAATTTTGATCATCATTATCTGTTTTTTTCTTAAAAATGTAATATTTCATGTGCATGCTAATGGTGTATCTGATAAATTTTTGCCGTAAATAGGTACAAAAGTACTTAAAATCTCCCAAAACACTAGCCTGGTTAAAACCAGACCATTCTCATTTGTAACTGAGTTATGGTCTGGCAAAGCGTCATAGACAAATCATTTCCAGAGGGGCGTCACCAACGGACGTCGCGGATAGACCTAAAACCAATCAGAGCGATGAAGGAGATGACGTATGCAGAGCGGCGGAGAAACATCTCCGAGTGTTGTTCTTTGCTCGGTTTTTAACAAAAAGGAAACGTTCAAATCGCTTAAAACAGACGCGATAGCTGATTCGAACGAGTGATGTTCGACGGCGGCATCCATCTTTGTAACGTAGGCTACAAAATCTGCTTCAAAATCCCAGCGCTGTCGTCATCGTGTAAAGCCCGCCCCAACGTTTATGATTGGTGCCGCGATTGAGCTTGAATGAGCTCTTTGCCAGACTAACTTTCAGAGCAAATCTAAATTTGCCGGAAGTTGTCTGGGTTTTCCCAGGCTACCAAAACACAGCAATTTTGGGGTCATATTATTTGGGGGTCAGCCCATAGACCAGGGGTCGGCAACCCAAAATGTTGAAAGAGCCATATTGGACCCAAAAAAAATAAAAAATATCTGTCTGGAGCCGCAAAAAATTAAAAGCGTTATATAAGCCTTATAATGAAGGCAACACATGCTGTAAGTGTTATATTAGCTTTATTAGTATCAAAATGATAAGTAGGCTACAAATTAGAGCTTAGAACGGCCCAAAAAATCAAGCCCGGCCCGGCCCGGCCCGACACATTAAACGTAATTATGAGCCCGAGCCCGATTTTAACCCGACCATTTTTTAATGCGTGGGTCGTTATAACTGACGTTCTCAACTTTCTTTCTCCCGCCCGCAACATTTGTTTTGTCCCGCTCCCGCCCGCAAATACACTTTTTTCTGTACCTCCAAATACTTTCAAGTTAGCCTACGTGTCGCCACCATACATCCTCCTGATAAATTATTTGTTATTAAAGCATTAAAACACAAACCACTGTTAATTTAACATGAAAGCAAGCAGTTTACTGCGTGCATGGTTTGCCAAGACTGAATGCGCGCAAAGTGCGCTCTCTTAATAATCCGTAAAAAGATGACAGTTCATCGCGATCTCACACATCTCTGTTATTATCAATGAAGCTGACTGCACAATGAATCTTTCATAATATCCACACTTTGTTCATTATAATTAAAGGATTTGCCAGCATACAGAATTCAGCACTGAACAAAAACGTCAGTTTCGAGCGATGAGGGGAGTCTATCTTAAATGCTTCTGATTGGCCATTGCGTTCAAGAAATCAACACATATGTCTGTGATTGGCTATATCGCTCAACGCTGCAAACATGTTATGAATAGAAATTCTGCCCTGTAAATCGTTTCTATTTTGTTTTAGTAGAGTGAGTGCATTACCGCACGCGCCCGCGCTCGCACTCGGCCATCAAATCTAGTCCCGCGCCGCACTCTATTGCGTTGGGAGTGCTCAGCTATCTTTCTCTTTTTCCCCTTGGGATCCATGGCCCATGACACACCCGCCGGTTTGTTTGTTTGTTTGTCAGCCACCGGTCTACCATCACGCCGATCTGACAGACACGTGTGTCACAGTCTATGACGTAAATTCTTCAGTGACAGAAATGTTGAAATTAAATATTTATCATACACATTTTTACAACGTTGAAAAACTTTAAGAATATTTGTCATGTTTTTCCTCATACAGAAATTATATTAAAACAAAAAAAATATTTTTTCCATTTTCAAATTTTTGAAAAAGCTCCAGGGAGCCACTAGGGCGGCGCTTAAGAGCCGCATGCGGCTCTAGAGCCGCGGGTTGCCGACCTATGCCATAGACAAAGAATATAAACAAGCAACAAGGAGCTTATGAGGGTTAAACATTCAAGTTGATTGTACTTAGGCAGCAACTTTTTTTACAGCGGAAATTTTACATGCACAAATAGAGTTGAGTCAAGAAACACATTTTTTTCTCAGTATGGTCTTACTAAAAAAAGTAAACAACATGGCAACATTTGACAGAAACTGCGCAGTTCTAAATATGTCACAGAGACTATGCCAAAAATCTTGCTCTCTACATTCGTTTCTTACCAATTTCCAACACTTTGGCTCTCCTCCATTCGTCCCACATACGAATGTGCAGTCTTGAAATCTCTCAATTACAGTTATTACATTTTCACAAGAGCTCTGTATAGATGGAGGAATATTAGAAAGACTGTTATAAACCACAAAACTCAATTTGTTCTTTTTTTTCTCGCTTCTTCAAAAGTGTAAAAAAAAACTCACCTTACCACATCTTGGTAAGTTTGGATTCAGAGTGAAGTTCTACAGATAAAAATAAAACATCATCTGCATAAATTGTATAGTTTGCATCTCAATAAACAGCGTTTTATTTTATTATCTCGGTCACAAAATCTTCTGAATGCTTCTCAAAAATGTATGTTTTTTTGTTTTGTTTTTAGTACTATGACTACACAATTATTTAACAAACCATATACAAAGCAACTAATCACATGAATGTTTTCTCACTAATCAATCACTCAATTAACATTTAAATAATTGATTGTAACCATAGCACCAGATTGGACATGTTGATGGAAATAAATCTTTCATGAACACCTGATATTCTGCCTTTGTTTGATTAAAATGAACTCAAATAAACTGCACTGACAGATCTGTTTGTTGCTTTTGACCCAGCTGTCTGTGTGGCGTCATGGGCATAATTTCTGACTATCTATTCACAATATATAATTTAACCTATAGGCCGCTCAACATACTAATTACTTCCACTGCCAAAAGTTTCAGTTAACTTCAGTCTTTCACATTGATATGCTACTATTCTTTATATCCCAACTCTGAAATTACTTTGAATAGAATTATAAATATAGAAAATGGCAAAATTATATAGATGCATTGTGATTCCTATAAATATCACATATCATTGATTTACATATTAATGACCAATTACCTCCAAAATCTGACCAGTGTCTACATCAACGTGTAGAACATTATTTAATCCTCCCACCCAGAGGCTCTTTGATCCTTCTTGATGAAATAAGACTGTATGACTATAATTCGTGTTGTATAACAGTAGAGAATCATCTGAGGAAAAAAAATAATAAAACAAACACAATTTAGACCGCATCATTTACAAAACAAATAAAAAACAATAGAATAGAATAGGCTACTAATATATACGCTATATATATATAGGCTATATATATACACACACATACATTTACTAATTAGTTTGACTACAGGGTAAATTTTCTCTTACCTTGTTTTAGTGTTAATCTGGGATCACAAGAGCAAAACACGCACAGAAAGCACGCTCCATAAATAAACCAAGGACACGCCAAAATGCCTTTGATGTCGACAGAGAAATATCGTTTTAGGAGCATATTCCTGCAGAGTCTATCGCTCAGAATAACTCGAGCACATCTCATTTAGAACAGAGCGCTTGCGTAGACAAAAAAAACCCGGCTCGTTTGAGGATATGTACTGGGGGGGGGGTTGGGGGGGGTGGAGAGAGAGAGAGAGAGAGAGAGAGAGAGAGAGAGAGAGAGAGAGAGAGAGAGAGAGAGAGAGAGAGAGAGAGAGAGAGAGAGAGAGAGAGAGAGAGAGGATATCGCGGGATTCACACACGTGACATACACAGTTCTAGACTAATGATAATAATAGTGTGTGTGTTGTTAATATTTTCTAAACATTCACCGTTAATAATTTGCACATGCGCGTTTGCAGTTTAATCTTTAGATTTCAGTCGGAACGGTATGGTCGGAACTCGGAATAAAACAGTAATTTGTCTTATTAAAAATGTCACTTTAGTTAGTGTGACTTAAAATAAGGGCCCAAATCAGTCAAATATTGTATCACGAACAACTTAACTTTATAAAAGAAACTTCACTGATAGAATATCTATAAAATCTGTTTTTAACCAATTTGACTCGTCCTCCAGTCCAGTAGGTGGTTTGCCAACCATCCACCGTCACATACCAGAAGAAGAAGACGAAGACGAAGAAGAAGAAGAACAGCTGACTGACTGACTGTCATAATGGTATTTATCTTATTGGACAATATCTGGGTTTATTTGGGTTTCACATCTGAAACCTCTGAAGTTATAATATGTGACCGCTTTGTTTTGTGGATAGTTGATTTATTTCATGTTGTGGATAGCGCACGCTAATCGTAGTGTAGTCTTAAGGCTGAGCAACAGAAGTAAACATTCTTCACTCATTTTGCTCTTTCATTTTTTTATTTCAGAGGTTCCGATTTTGTGGAGATCTGGACTGCCCTGACTGGGTCCTTGCAGAAATAAGCACCTTAGCTAGAATAGTAAGTGCGGGTTTCTAAATTTAATAGGTGTTTTGATGTTCCCTTTGACACCTTCATAAGTAATTTACTTCATTGCTGTTCTTCACAGTCGAGCGTCAAGATGAAACTTCTGTGTGTGCAAGTCATGAAAGATCTGCTGGATGAAGGCATTGATGTAAGAGAGCACTGGCCACAGCAGACTGCAATACTGTAACTGGAAACTGAATTCATGAGCCAACTAGTAACTGTATATAATTATCTGTTTTCAGTATGACAAAGTTTCAAAGCTGACCACCGATGCAAAATTTGGTGAGTAAAACCTAGTTTTTGTGTCATCTATTCTCATAGTGATGTGTCGAATAAAATTATAATTATAGATCAAATGTTTCAATACTGATAAGCTGATGATTATTTTCATGTTAAATGGCTTATAACAATAAATGGCTGATATTAAAGTAACAACAGGTAACTTTTCAGCCTTCATAATATATTTCCAAGTCTCTTGTGATGGTACATCGATTTACAATAGGTTGAATGACACGTCTGCCATAGCCTGACGGGGTCTGTAGCGTTTTTAATCGTACTTTTAAACTTCGGGTTTCGGGTAGTAACCGGCGAACAAAGAGAACTACAAAATTCGACTGCTTTACGGCATATACGTCACTTCCACCACCACCCCCACTTCCTTAAAATCGGACTTGCGAGCCAAATGTTATAGTCATGGCCGAAGCAGCACAGAAAAACAAGAAAGCAAAGGTTTTATCGGAGCAAAGCAAAAAGAGAAAAAGAGAAAGTGATCGCGTTAAAGGCAGAACGAGGATCAACATTGCAGAGCTGCCAACTCTCACGCATTGGCCGTGAGACACCCGCATTTAATTGGTTTCACACGCTCACACGCCACACCCCCGGTTTCTCACGCTAAATTGTCAACCCGGTCGGTCAAATGCCTGAAAGATGAGTTTATCTATAGATCTCTACCTGTTGAGCCACTCGTGATCGACAAGTTATACCGCAAATTAGTTCAAATCTCCCGGAATCTAGAGCGAGCGCGCACGCGAGACAGAGACTGTGCTCCAACGCGCGCGGACGGCAGAGAGAGAAAGCGAGCGAGAGACCTTGCGTGTGCAGGGAGCATCGAACCCCCCATCGAAAAAAGAATGCCTCTCTCTAACCTCTCTAATTCGCTAGAGTAGTAGCGAATTATCAATCTGGTAGCTAGTAAACGATATTCTAGTTTTTGATGGTTAGCTATCGCTAGTATTCTCGTTCTGATTTTGAACTTTGCAATCGATGAAATGCAAATAGCAAATGTTTGACCTAAAAAGTGTAGTCTACTCAACATGTACAAAGAAAGGAGGAAGATTATTAATAAAATCATATTTTAGGATACCTAACATGTCTGTGATATTTGTTTATTTGTCTTGCCTCAAGCTATAATGCAAATCGATTTGTAAAATTTGCAGATTCATTTATGGTAGCTTGATATTATAATATTGACGATATATGGTTATTATCAACCACTCAAACATTGCATTGAAGTATCATATAGATTCAGTAAAACGGTAACCAATAGACTAGGCTACTATAATGACGCTGGCTTGTAAACGTGAGCATCGCGATCATTTGTCGTTATAAAAAAAATAAAACACATGAAATTATATTCATATGACATGCTGAAATATATGCCACTGTACCTGGGATGAAGACATTTCACACACGCGAGAACACCTGCATGTGACCTCCTCCTACAGTGTTCAGGGCTATCATGGTTGTCAACAAATGCACGTGCATGTAGGATGACAGTTTACGACAGTAGTAGAGGACAATACTGTTTCCCAACTGTAGGGGGAGCCCGAGAGCAAAAAACTACCTGTTGTTACTTTAAAATTATTTTCAAATAATATTTGATGTTAAATATTAAATTAAAACTAAAATTAGTTTTAAATGCTACAAGTGAATTTAGGCAAAACAGCATTATAATGTACAGTGTGGGAAAACTGGATATGGATATTGATTTTGAGATTCGCTAAAGATAACATTTAACATTGTTAAACTATTAGTGCTTTTAAAGATCGATTGAGTGCTAGATGACGGCAAAAGTGCAATTGCCAAAAAAAAGAAAGAAAAAAAAAGGATATGAGCAACAATTCAATATCCATTATTTACCTTTCAAAAAGTGCTTTATAAATAAAATGAATGATTAATTGACCAATGATTATTAAAAAAATCGTTCATATGCTGATAACTGATGTTACCAATATGTACACGTCCCTACATAAATGTATTTTTTGTTGTCTGTGTGTTTTGTTGCCACCCCCCCCCCCCCCCCCCCCCCAGAAATTGGAGACATTAAAGCCAGTGTAGCTGTGCTGAGTTTCATTCTGTCCAGTGCTGCTAAACATGATGTAGACAGTGAATCTCTCTCCAGTGAACTACAGCAGCTTGGCCTGCCTAAAGGTAAGGATATGCACGTTATCATTTTTTTACTTTATACTAAAGTTGTGATTAAAATGTTGTGATTGGTCTACTCTGCTCTGATTGGTCAGATGGCCCAGTGTGTTGTGATTGGTCTACTCTGCTCTGATTGGTCAGATGGCCCAGTGTGTTGTGACTGGTTTACTCTGCTCTGATTGGTCAGAGGGCCCAGTGTGTTGTGACTGGTTTACTCTGCTCTGATTGGTCAGAGGGCCCAGTGTGTTGTGACTGGTTTACTCTGCTCTGATTGGTCAGAGGGCCCAGTTTGTTGTGACTGGTCTACTCTGCTCTGATTGGTCAGAGGGCCCAGTTTATTGTGACTGGTCTACTCTGCTCTGATTGGTCAGAGGGCCCAGTTTGTTGTGACTGGTCTACTCTGCTCTGATTGGTCAGAGGGCCCAGCACTGTGTTGGGATTTTAGGGCTGCACGATATTGAAGAAAAGTGCGATATGCGATATCTCATTAAATAATGCGATATTCGATATGTGATACCATAATGCTTAAAGTGTGTTTAATAAACTTAAATTATCTTTCAAATATATTTAAATCTGTATATCCTGCATACGCGTTACACATTCTTTTTGTGACAAGAAAACATACCTACAACTTCAGAAAGTAAACAGCAGTGTTTAACTTTTGCATAATAAGTATTTTAACATCAATGTTGATTTTAACGTATCAATTCGAGCCGAGTCCTATCTGAAAAAAGCGTAATACTTTAATCATGTATTTGTTTGTTTTTAGAGCACGCCACAGGACTGTGTAAATCATATGAAGATAAACACAGTGCTCTACAGGAAAAGCTGAGGGAGAGCAGCCTACGATGTGAGTATTACTAATAATAAAAAAGAAAGGAAATTCATCTCAGATTATTCATTTACATATAATATCCTGATCCATGTCGTGTCAGTGGGTCGTCTGGAAGCGGTGAACTGGCGTGTGGATTACACCCTGAGCTCCAGTGAAATAAAGCAAGTGAATGAACCCACAGTCCAGCTCAGACTTCAGGCTCAGGACCCCGAGACCGACTCCACAGAGACCACCGTTGTCTCCATCACTGCGGACAAGTTCAGAGTCCTGCTAACAGGTGGCCGAGTCATTTTCCCTCTGAGATCAGTAATTATACATTGTATTATGCATATTGTAAATTTCCTTCTTTTTGTTTTCCAGAACTCAAACAAGCACAGACTATGATGAATGCACTACAGTGAACCAGTCATCCTTTGTTGAAGAGTATTGATGAAATGTGCACGTGCACAGAATCTGTCCGTGTACATGAAATGGGCTTCTCAGAAAGAAAGAAACATTTATGTATTTTGTAGAGGTCTCCAAATGTGGTTGCTCAAATTGAGCACTGACCTTTAAAAAAGCACATCAATCAGATTTATAATTTGTATTCATTTCTTTTTGGACCAGATGTCACTAGAAACTTAATTTTGTCACGGGTTGAATCACATCCAGAGAACAAAAAGCTTAGTGAATTCATCTCAACTCATGTATTTGTCTTAATATCATGTGCATTTTCTTTAAAAAATAAATAAATAAATGTAATAACAATAGTTCCGTTTCTATATTTCCTTAATGTTACTTACAATTTCATTTGGTAAATTTTTGTGTTGTTTGTTTTGTTACTAATGTATTTAACAGTTTGCGGTTAAAGTGGAATGGCATATCCTTAAAATGCAAATACTATTTAGTAATATTCAGATATTTTATTTATTTCCCCTGGCATTGAAAATATCTATTCAGACCAGTTGGAAATCTTCAGATCTGGAAATATCATGAATTCCTCCTCAGATTTACTGTACAAGTCAAGATGAAAGTAGTTTTGTATATAGAAAAAAGGGGTAAACAAAACAATAACATGTATACGTTGTCGATAGGCTCTCAGACGAGGGGGACTGGAAATAAACTACAACTCCCATGATGCTCCCTTACCCGTTTCATAAACATTAGCACACACCGAGCGAGTTTCCATTATTAAATAACACACATCAAGAGCAAAGGTGAGTTGGTGCACGATTCATTGAATTTAACCAGCGATTTACTGACTATGATCTTGCTGGCTATTCGGAAGCACACGTTGCAAAGCGACAATTCGTGAACTTTGCATGTAGCATCAAAACATGCATGTACTAGTTGCTTAGCGCTTAAGGCAGACTTTCATAACAACAGTATCGTTCAACATCAGGGAGGGATTGTAAACTAGCACAGCACGCTTATCAGACGCTCTCCATTAGAATACAATATAGCAGTCCAGTTGAACTATTATCTATTATTGTCCACTTTGGTGTCCCTTGTTTTTTTTAAGAAGGCACAAATACCCGTTACTATTTCTCCACCGTTTATCAAAAACATTTCTTGAAACTGTGACAAATGGCAGGAAGTAAATCGCTAGGTTTTTTTATGAACTTTTACACAGATTGTAGCGGTAACTGAATATGCCGAGCTTCATGCCTAATACTAAAAAAAAGAAGAAGAGAAAAAAGAAAATTCATTAATTTATCGGAAATATTTTATTAAAGTTTGTCAGTACGTACATGCTTTATTTAGGGTAAATTTTCCACTCCATTACCCATTTGGTCAGAAAAGTATTCTCATTTTCCCTAAGTTTGTCCCTAAAAAAATTAGAAAAAACATAGACATCAGGATTTAGACATTTTTAGACAAGTTCTGGTTTTTGGCTGCAAAAAGAAAGAAGAACAAAACCAACTAAGAAATAAAGCAAATTAGATTGACTGTGAAAACAATTTGACTTCCTGGTTGTTGTTTTTTTCAAATCTGATTCTTTGTTTTCTGAAGTAACCTACTTTCACTGATCATTTGTTGAGAAAAAAAAAGATAGGCCTAAATTGTTAAAGTCAGCATGAAGCGGAAATGGCAATGGGCTCTATGCACGGCGATATTTCCGGTGAAGGTCTAAGGATGCTGGATTACTTCCGCCGATCGTAGAGTCCAATGCTATACCAAGAATTTATATTGGTTTTTATACTTTATTGCTATACTAAAGAAACGTTAGTCACAAAAACAGACAAAACAGACACCCCTCATTTTGTTTATGCTTCTTTGTTTATTATATTAAATAAACATAACTATATATGAAATTAAATCTAAACGTATTAAAGTTTCGTTTCAAAGACGAGAGGACAGTAAATTTTGAAAACTCTGCTATAATCCCGTTTTCCTCGGTTTTCCTCCGCTTTAAATCTCCCCAACCGGAAACGCAAGAGCATCCTTGCATCAAACGCGGAAGTTATGCGTGCATATAGCCCATAGTCTTTTCTTCCCTGTTGTGACATAGGCTATATCCGAGTGAAACAGCTACTGAACAAGAAAAATGTAGGGCGGACTTGATCTAGGGCTATTGGTCGATCTCATGTGATTGACAGGTTGCCCGCCCTCGTACCAGTATACACGTCATCAGAGAAGAGAAGACGCTGCAAGAGGGAGTTATTTTGATGAAAGATTTTAAGGGCACATGAATAAAAAATAATGATATGCACGGATAAATCATTTATAATAACTACTGTAATATTCCATAAAAAAAAAAGAATTGCCGATTTTGATTTCATTGTGACGACTAAGAGTTTTAGGTCCTATTTTGAACCTGATTGTGGAAAGTCTCTAGTGTAACACTAACAACAACATCTGAACCCCTTATGTTTAGGTTTCTTTTCATGTTCGAGAATGCCGGAGGGTCCTGAGCTTCATTTGGCTAGCCTGTTTGTCAACAGGATGTGTGCAGGGCTTGTGTTTACTGGAGCCGTAGAGAAATCTGAAGTGAACAAAAATCCTGAGGTCCCATTCTGCTGCGACGCCTACATCATCAAAGCCCAGTCCAGAGGAAAAGAGGTCATACTCACACTTACACCCTTTAAAAATGATGGTGACCGCAAACGCAAGGTCGGTAAACATCAGTCTCAGCATCCGATGGATGTGGTTTTCCGATTTGGGATGTCCGGGTTTTTCCGCTTCACTTCAGAAGACGATCTTCCAAAACATGCCCACCTGCGGTTCTACACTAATGAGAGCCCACGCAGGGTTCTGAGTTTTGAGGACACGCGCAGATTCGGCAGCTGGCAAGCAAATGGGACATGGCAAAAAGATAGAGGGCCTTGCGTCATGTTTGAGTACGAGAGCTTCAGGTGAGGGATTCACTGAACACTAATAATCTTATTGTGTACACATGAAACGTATAACAGAAATTATTAGTATAAAAGATTTAGCTAGGTTTCTAGTAAGATAGCAGGAAGTGTACACGGGCTACCCATACGGGAAAAAAAATTCCTGGCCAAAATATATTTTAAATAGGCTATTGTAAAAATATGTTGTAAACAGTGAGGTTCGGTTAAATGTATTTTTGAAAGTGAATTTTGTATTTATTTATTTCATTTATTTTGTTTCAACCTTCTTTCAAATGCAAGAAAATACATTTCCAATCGTACAGTAGCCTACATTTAGACAAAATACAAAAGTGGATGGAACAGTAGCCTATAGCAATCAAAAACTAAACTATATTTTGTATCCATCATTTAAAATGTGTTATGAATTTTAAACCCTTGCAGGAAAAAAAAAATTCATTTCCGCATGTTGTCCACTTTTGTTCAAATGTCTTCCCAAAAAATACAGTGATTGAACACGGCAGTCAGAAGAATTTTTTTCCCTTGATTTTTTCTTGCTTGATAACAGCCTTATTAGAATAACCCGCACTAATGTTATTTTTTAATAATTGAATACAGGTGTAATATAACAATTATAGCGTTTAAATGTATATATAAAAAAAGGGATAGTTCACCCAAAAATGAAAATTCTGTCGGTAATTACTACTCACCCTCATGTACTGACAGCATTTTTGGGTGAACTAACCCTTTAACGGTCAACTACCAGTGGGAGTTCTCAGGGGAAGAGCTATTTAGTTTTAGTGATCATTTAGCATATGTTAATTGTCACTTTAGATGTATTAGTGTGTTGTATTTTTAAGGTTTTGTAACTTTATTTTAATTCATGGGATTTCAGTATCAATCGTTCCAGCAAGATAAGACACGATTCAAATCGAGAACATTTTATTTTCAACCCAGCCCTAGACATATTTTATGCCAAGCATATTTCATGATGCGTCTTCGACTTTATGGTGTACAACTCAATTAATCTCTACATGGAAATTGGCAGATAAGGTTACTCACAGGCACAACGTGACACTGGTTTAGTAGTTTGATGCTACTGTCGGTGGAGATGCGATTAATATGAAAGGGCCAGTTTACGATGCAATGGGTTGATAACTTAGTATGTGTGTTTAAATATTTCAGGGAGAATGTTCTTTCGAATCTGTCTGACAAGGCATTTGACAAACCCATCTGTGAGGCTCTCTTAAATCAGAAGTATTTCAACGGGATTGGGAACTATCTTCGAGCAGAGATTTTGTTCAGGTAACTCACTTTCCAATGTTTTCTATCTTCGAAATAAATGGTGTATCTCAACTTTGAGAATAAAACCACGTTGTCTATTTGAAAAATCCCCCTTTTTTTTTACTTGTACATTAAACCATTGAAATATTCCTCTCTTTGATGGCCTACTATCATGCCAATCTAAATCTGATTACGAGAAAAAGGAACTGATTGTTTTCCCCTCACATCCTTTTCAGACTACAAATCCCCCCATTTGTGAAGGCACGGACAGTTCTAGAGGGAATTGAGCTGAAAATTGAGGATAAAAAGGAGATCAAAAAGGTTATTACAGTTTTAGAGGTGAAGAATCTGACCCTATAGTCAGTGTATTACTAGGCACTTTGTTTGGCATTAATCATGGCTCTGTTGGGTTTCATCCAGACAACAGATACTGCTGGAAAGAAGGGGGTGAAGGTTGAGACCCCAGACCTCCTTTCTTTGTGTCACACTGTTCCCTTGGAGGTGGTGAAATTGGGTTGGTTTACACTGCATTTAATTGTGATACGTTCATTTATCAATTGCTATTTTGCATAGCTGTGTATGACGGTACATGCATACCCATCACATTCTGAATAACATGTTACCTCAGATTTGTAGTCGTAATGTCAGTGAAATTGCCTTTTTAGCTTCAGATCGGTATTCGTGCAACTGATTTTTTTACTTCATTTTGATATAATTAGGCGAAAATGGCTATAAACCAGCAAAGGCTGAATATTCTGTGCTACAAGCCTGGATGCAGTGTTACTCTGTGGATGGAATGAACTCATTAACTGACCACAATGGACGGACAATTTGGTTCAAAGTATGTAAAGCTTTGTAAAATTTCTTGTACAATTCTAAAACTGGAAACCATTAGGTAACATTTTATTTAAATGCTTTGTTTCAGGGGGATCCTGGTCCTATGGTGCCCAAAGGTAAAACCACTCTGCAATTTAAACAGATGATTTACTCCTAAGAATTTTAGTCACTTATAACTAAAAATGATTTCCCATTAGGTGCCAAATCTCGCAAAAATAAGTGGAAAATACAGAAAGATCACGATTATACTGATTCAAAGGTGAAAGCAGTTACCTTCTTTTTTTTTTTTTTTTACTTGGGTTCATGAACGGATACAAGAACATTAAACGTCTGCTTCACTCTAGAAAGCCAAAAAGACTCACGCCGAGAGCATTGCAATAGAAAAGCCTGCCAAGAAAAAGGACAACATAAAGGTAAAGAAAGAAAGTGCAACCTCTAAAGCACAAAGTGGAACAAAAAGGCAGAACAAAGACACAAAGAGGGTCAGTACAGAACCTGCAGATGAGAACAAAAAGTCGAAAAAACAAGGGAAGAGAAGCTTAAAAGGTTAGAATCTTACATTCTCCATTTGTATTTTTACTTTCAGTATTATACAGTGATTTCACTGCTATGTTGTCCTTTTTTAAGTTCCTCCAAGGACTGGAACTAACAAAATCAAAGGCCAACATGAGGAGGAACTGATTAAAACTAAAAGGAATTCTGTCACCTGCAGGGCGAGTGCAACAAAAGGTATGAATTCAGTCGTGGCCTTTTATACGGAAGCTGACTGTGCTCAGTGAGTTGTGGTGTCTTGGGTAGCTAATTCAGTTTTTCTTTGGATTCTTTTGTAGCAAAGCCAAAGAGGAGAAGTAGTGGCACACGACGAGGCCGTTCAAGATGATGACTTAAATCTGTATAAGGAGATGAAACCACTGTAATGGACCACTCAGACCTTTTATATTCAGTAAAGACTTCATAATCTATTTTTAACATAAATAAAATGTGTATACAAAAAAATACCTGAAATATATATACAAATATATTTCCTTAAATTCTACTGTTCTACTATCTTGCCTTTTTTTGTCCAAAATACCACTTAAAAGGTAAGAGAGTTAGTTGAGAGGAAATTATAACAGGAAGAATACATTGTAAATCAAACATTGAAATTTATTTATTTTTAAAGAAAAGTGAAATTGTGTGTGCGCAACCGCAAATTTTCCAAAAGTGATGGCAGCTTCTCAGGGACTTACAAGGGATTTAAGTACCTGCGTCATAACTGATACGGATTTAAATGGTTCACTGTATAATTAAGAGGAGAGATCTGATCTGAAAGGGTTTGAACGTTAAGGATATTCCAGAGGTGGTCTTTGACACAGGAATGCTGGGATCAGGACGCTCCAGGAGATCACAACTATAAAGACAGTAAGTTATTTGTTAGTGTTCCTGACAATACAACAACAGAAGGTTAGTATTCATTGTGTACTCACTGCCAGGCTTCTTTTACTGGAAGGGAAGTTGACAAAGTCGCAGTCACACTGCTTCCGTGAGACTCATAGAGGCGAATAAGAAGGGCATTCTCTCTTCTTTCCGCCTGTGAGAAAAAAGGAAACTGAGTTCGTGCTGACGCAGTGGGCAAAATCTGTTAGGAAAGGTTACCGTCCGGTCATTTCATGAACGGGCACCTGTTTTATGGTCTCCAGGATGACAGCAGGCGAATTTACAGAGAACGCACTCAAGGGTTCAGAAATGGCACCATGATAGACACGGAGCGGGAAGTTCAGGTTGTAGGCATACTGGATAACTGAAGCTTCCTGGAAGGGGCCTTTTCAGACAATGATTTTATTAATTGTTGTCTGGAAATTACTTCTAATAGTTTAGATTTGAGATGTACCAACCTGTATGTGGCATCAATGCGTAGGTAAAATGATGACGCCCCATATCTGCATTGGCATCTGGCGCTTTTGGAGCCCGCAATCTGTGGGAAAAAAACAGTGGTGTTAGCAAAACATCTTAATGACCTGTCTATACTTGTGTGAGAAAAATACTTACAGGGACAAGGTCATGATGTTTTCATGGACCGAGTAGCCGTATTTGGAGTCATTAAGAAGAGCCACGCCAAAGCCATGCTCAGACAGATCAGCCCATTTGTGTCCCCACACCTATTAAATAAATCATAGAAATAACGTAATATTCTCCAAGAGAACATTAAACCACAGACATTATAAAGAGGAGAGATGGCAGCTGCTGAGAAACCCAATTGCAGCGTTCAATATGGTGGTTTGTAGGAAGCAAAGTCCTATCTTCAAATTAATAGAACCAGTCATCCCATTGGGAAAGACATGGTCCTTTTGGTTTTGAACATGCAAGTGCTTTCATTGGACCAACCAGAAAAAGGCAGTTTTTAGCCTGATTTGAGCTATTGGTGCTTGAACAGATTACGGAAATGTGCACTTGGCAAATAGAGTCCCAAACAAAGTACTTGACGTGAACTTGGACACCTCGTAGCCTATTCTCACACAAGGCCAACAAGACTAAGGAGATTTATAATTTCATGTTTCTAAAGGGTGCTCACGAGCACCTCTTATTAGCCACAATGCTCCCTCATTGTGCCCTTTTTCCAAGCCCGCAAGTGAGGACTTCACGGCGGACTACTACTCGACAATCTACTACTGCAATGTCACCAGAATGTGGACTCTTGAGGAAGACTGCTAGGATTGAATGCGACATTTAGAATAGGACCAGTTTTGGGCCATTCAGAAAGATAGGGGCTATACTTCTATGACCAGAAAATAAACCAAGTTTGCAGTACCTCAAAGCGAGCCCAGTCCCAGGAGGTGTTTCTATGAGTGGGCCTCTGCAAGTGTCCGAATTGGATCTCATAGGTAGCATTTGGGCTGCGCACCTGCACGGGGAACTCCACCTTCAGAAACTTATGTGCCTCTTCCCAGTCCACCTGGAAACAAGATATGCATTACGCTTTACAGAGTTTCTTGAACAGCTGGGTGATTAAATATCAAGCATAAGATTACAAACTTAGTTGTAATTCATCCTTCCTCACCTGCGTATTAAATTTAATATAGGGGCAGCAAGCATCCAGAATAATCTCCTGTCTTATAGTGCTGTTTCCGCTGATCCTTAGCGAAAAGGAGACGCTGCCCTGAACCCCCCCAGATCTCACTACCTTAACCGGCTCGACAAGCTCAATTACAGGCTTCCTGGGAAAGTAGATTTATTGCCATCAAGGTTATGACATTAACTTAAGTTCACACAGAGTTCAAAGCTGGGTTCATATGAATCCGATCCCACCCACTGATGTGACAAGAGACATGCTCACCTTGTCTGAAGGTGGTAGTCCATCACATCCCAAGCGTCCCAATACAGAGGCACATCATCGAACAAAGAAAACTGGTTTCCAAAGCCACCCTCAGAAATGGTTTCCCTGAAATCATAATAGTTGCTAGCAGTAAGTTCTATAAACAACCCTACAAGATTGTGCACTCTGCTTGAAGGCCAACATTATGACTCACCTGTTTGCTTGGACTAAATGCAGAGACATCAATCGACCTGTTTGGTCAATTGTGGCCTTCAAAAGGCCATTCTCCATCATAATGGTCCCATCGACCTGCATCACAAAGAGCACCCACTGAATGACGAAAATGTGTGGGATTAAGAAAATTGTGAAATGATGGAAAATGTCCAAGGGAATTAAGTACCATCATTGTGACAGAGACTGTAGGCTCTGTAGGCTCAGCCATCTCGGTGACTTGAGCTACGCCCACGCTAGGTACTCTCACCAAGGCTGTGGAAACAGGTGGAAACTATAATAGTGGATATGCTTCAATGAGCCTTACTGTACTTTAATCAAATCTAACCTTGTCATTAGATATGAATAGACGCTATCTTTGAAGTCTACCCAAAAGAAGGTCATCTGAACAATGCTATGTTTTGTAAGCGGGAAGTACCTAATCTCATTTTAGTGCCCTCCCCTGGAAGTGATATGACTTCAGTTCTCTCCCAGGGTAAAGTGTTCAGTACAGCTGTGCTTGATCCTACACCCTTGTCAGGAGAGGATCCCAGTGATTCACAAGCAGCAAGAAGTAGTCTAGACCCTGCGGTGCGTATCTCTGAAAACAAAGTTCATTAGGTTATGCTCATCGTGATCTTCATCAAGATAATAACACTTATGTTAGCTTTGTCATACTTTAAAAAACAGTTAACGGGTTGTACATATCAGTTTTTTGTCATAGTTTACTCATCTTCATTTTGTTCCAAATCTAACATAATCGGATGATGTGAGAGTTCTAGGAGGTAATAATAACTCATTTTGATGACAAGCTTTGGCTCAGGCATTTTTTAGGATGACTAAAGCAACATTTGAGATGATGTGCAATGGGATTGGTCTGCTGGTGAATCCAGTTTTCCATTCACACAATCTGTTGAGGCAAAGTCTATCTTTTTTTGTGCATCGAGGAATTTGTTTGGTAAATCATATCATATCAAATCTTGTTGAAGTATTCAAATATGCCATGTGAGGACATGCACTAGTTTTGATGCCAAGTGCCACTAGTTCTCACAGGTCTTGTAACCACACATGCTGCCTCAAATTTGAACATGCAGAAGTGTGAATGAGATTTCAGAGCTATGCCAATTTCAGAAAATGACCTCAATTTCAACATTTAACACACAAAGCAATCATATAATTTTGGTACTTTTATGAGTTTTTTTAAAAGTTAGACACAGACAAGCCCAATTCACTTTAATTGTATGGAAAATAATTATTTTGTGTTCCACTGAAAAAAGACAATAATGAAGAGTTGGAACAACATGAGGTTGAGTAAATGATGCCAGAATTATCAAGTATCTCTTTAACATAACTAATTGTAATATTAAAACCGAATTTTAGAACTAAATATTAGGGATGCACCGATATGAACATTTTGGTTGCTACCGATAAATCGATTATTCTTTATATTTGAAAACCGATATATTGGCCGATAAATCTAAATTAATAAACTTTTTATATAATTTTTGACAGCCTGATTACAAAAACAAAAATCTCACTATTAAAAGCCATGTACCAAGCACACAATTATAATGATGTTCTCATTATAATTTTATGTAGCCTATACACAATGGACTTGAGCTGCACGTTGCATTAACTGTATTTTTCTTTTCGAAGTGGCTCCAATCATACTTCAAGCAATTCAAAGCAATCATGGCACACATAATGCACATCTGAAGTGTCTCAGCTGAAGGAAATAATCCATTATTTATCGGCTTTAATATATCGGCCATGGTCCGTGGTAAAGGCAGATGGTTTACCGTCATAGTACTGTAAAGCATCCTCAACAACCATCTCAATACAGCTGCCAGGAATCACATCATGGAACTGATTGAGTAGAAGCAATCTAAAATAGAGACATGCAGAGAGCCACTTGAGATTTCAGCTATGCTCTTATCATCAGAATATTTAAAGGGGTCATATAATGGTACATGCACTTTTACAAGTTGATTGTACTGAAATGTGTGTTGGCAGTGCCTGTACACAAACATCATATAATGATAAAAATCCATCCAGTGGTTTTGTTTTAATCTCCTTATATGTTTTCCCCTGCCTCAAATCGAGCCGTTCGTTTTTGTGACGTCAATAAAACGGACGCCCCTCCCACGATTGTTGATTGACGGGAGCGTTTCAACACAGACCCGCCCTCGCACATGAGGTAGCTGTCAATCATAGTCTGCGCGGCGCGGACCGGATCGGCGCGGTCATTGTTGATGTGCCGGACCACTGTCTATGAGCAGAATGGCGTCTAAGCGATTGTGGTGTTCTGTTCTTGGGTGTAATAACGAACACAGTCATTTTAATGTTCCTGAATCCGAACCGCTGAAGACGCAGTGGCTGAGTTTTGTTTTCGAAGGGAATATTCCACACGAGCAACGTCAATGCTTTCATGTTTGCGCGAATCATTTCACACACCAGACTGCTTTATAAACGAGGATCAGTATAAAGCTGGATTTGCTAAGAAGCTTTGCTAAAAAGGATCGGTACCAGATATTCGTGTTCCTACTGAACCTCCAGAAGAACGGAAGTGAGTGAAACGTTTTATTAAACTTTATATTAATATATTAATCTTTGCAAATCGCTAGCTGCACACTTCACGATGAATGCGTCTAAGGTTTACACTCAGTCAGGGTACATTACGGCATGTTTTCTATGTATGACGTTCTCAATATAATTCATAATTCCACGTTTATACTGAACAACGCGTTATGGTTATTGTGTTACAAACGGTGTACGCACAGAACAGAGAGGCGGGGTGAGCAAAGCTCATTATCATTTAAAGGCATATGCACTGAAACGGCGTGCTGAAAACAGAGCTGTTTTTGACCAGGTAAAATAAGTGTTTTCTTACAATACTAATGAGAATTTTTAATTAAAGTATATTACAAACTTTTAATTTAGACCCTAAAGAATCATATTAGCTTGTACAAAAATGGCATTATATGACCCCTTTAAAGCTTGAGCACTTGCCTCCATAGTTCTTGAAGTTTGCATGCTGGATATTTGAAGCTATCTTTTTTACACAAGGCCAGACAGCTAGCCACCTCAACGTCATGAAGCAGAACTTCACATTGACGGTTTCCCAATTTTATCTACAGAGAAAAAAAAGATAAATTAAAGGGGGCCTTCCCATTCAAGTTGACTCAGAACATAAATAAAAACCAAGCTGGTCAATCAGAAACTGACAGTATTGATTTAGGAACAATTGGCATATTAGCAAATGACAACTCCCCATATATCAACGCATATGTAAGTATTCAGCAGTCCTCCCTTGATGAATAAAGTTGTCAACTACGTCAGTAAGTGGAGGTTAGCTAATCATAACACAAGTCATTTAGACAAAGTCTTAAAGGTACAGTAACCAAAACCAGCCATTTCCAGAATAGAAAGTAAAACTGTTTTTTATTGCAAAATTTTGACTATCAAAAAAAGTTGACCTCTGCATCTTTATCAAATCAACAATGAAAATTAATGCAGTTAGGAAGTGCACTATTTGGGGGATTGGAAGATGGACACACACCTTTGCTTGTGTGGTGTAAGTGCCATTATGCAGCTCAAGGAAGAGCTCGCCAACCCATGTGCACAGAAGCGATGAGTCCGATTCCAGCTGAGAGAACAGGACATCAGGACTTGACATCTGAACCCTGAATGACATAATCATGTTCATTAAATCTCACATCCAATTGAAGGACGACTCATTCTGGTAAGTATTTTTGAATAACGTCATGAATGCATCAGAGGGTAAGTACATTATAATATTTATGTATTTATATACTCTGAAAAATAACAGGAAATGGGTGTTTTAGTGTTACACCCTCAGAAGGGAAACAGACTTTGGCAGACAATCAGTGTCCCGGACACGCTGTAGACGGTCAAGCATTAGCTGTGTTGGGCCCCCGCCCCCATCGCCGAAACCAAACAGGGCTGCGCTGTGATTGGCTCGTCCCTTGTCTTTGTTGTTCTTCACTGTGTTAATCAGCTGTGTTGAGTAAAGGAAGGAGAAATGAGCTGGCCCTTCATTAGAGGGAGCTCGCAAATGATACGTTACATGATGAAAAACGTACATCTTCCACTTTACCCTTCATCTCATAGGAGTTACCCGGAGGAAAATGAGTGAGAACCGGTGTCCCATCAATACCTTCCCAAAAGAACGTGTTGTGCTGGTGGAAAGAGGAATCATGTGATTTTGAACATCGCAAACAACCATAATAAGGGTTTTCATATGTACAGATGAGATAGGCACCCACCGGAAATGTGTTAACAAGGTTCCAGCTCAGCTTCTGAGTGAGAAAACGAGAGATCCCACTTCCTTTCATGATCTGAGGCAGCTGTGCGGAGTAGCCAAAAGTGTCTGGCAGCCAGAACTGTGCGAGATTGAATTAATTAATTAGCCAGTGAATTAGTACAGGAAGTGGGTTTTTTTTATAACAGTGACTAGCATACTGTAATAAGATATACATATATAGTCCTAATCAGACTAGACTACAGTTACTTTTTACTGATTGCACGATGGCAGTAAAATATCATATACTGTAGTTTATGTACATTAAGTCTAAGGAAATACTTGTTTTTATTGTCTGCAAGAATGCTCGCGTCTGGTATCCACCCTTTTCCTAAGCCCCATGATGATTAGCACAAATTATGGGAGTAACTTCCGTTAAACTATAAACAATTAGCAAAAGGTTCGCTCTATGAACACAATAAGCATTTTCAAAAACTGAGTACAACGAGAATATTGGTAACCAGACAGCTGACGGCAGCCATCGACTTCCATAGTAGGGGAAAAAAATACTATGGAAGTCAACTGTCTGATCACCAACATTCTTCAAAATATCTTATTCTAAGTTCAACAGATCAAAGAAACTTGTACATGTTTGGAACAACTTGAAGGTGAGTAAATGATGACAGAATTTTCATTTTTATCCCTTTAATTAAAATTGTATCACTCAATGTTCAAGCTAATGAACATTTTTGAAGTAATTTCCATAATTTTTACAGACAATAGATATTGTATTTACCTGCTTTAGTAACATTTCCACTAAACACTGCTAACAGGGATTAGAAGTGAAAATGGGAGACAATGCCATTTGAATGCTAGAAGCTTCTTAGTGCATTCCAGTGAATTATTCATGAGATGTATCATAAATTAAATCGGGAGAGCAGACCACAAATGCACAGTATTTGTTGTCTTTTTATACTGTTACAGCGTAATACAATGAAAAAGAGAAAATAATCAGGAGGAAAAGAATGTAGCGACTGAAAGCTTTTGCCATCAATATTCTTTTAATACCATGTCACATTAAAATACTTATCTCCTGACGTCTGATAATAGAATATAAAGGATATTTTTTTCAGCACATTCAATCAAACTGACGGATAAGGATTATTTGTAGCACAACCTAATGAGTTGAAATGATTTGTCTCAGTCTTTTTGAACGGAACTTCCCCAAACCGGAAGTGCCTCCCATAATCTAAAAACGCAGTAGGCTCATTAAGAAAAAGATGGATAGACGGTATCAGCCCTTAAGCAACTGAGCGCCAGTAGCTTATGGTGTGATGATGCATAACTATTCGTCAATGTCTTGTTCTGGTGGGAGTCATATGCAAATGTCTTTGCCCATGTGAAAGACATTTTAAGCTATGACTTGCAGGATGTTTTAATGGTACAAAGTTTAAGGAAAATTTGATTTCTCATGACAGGACCACTTTTAAAAGGTTTGGTTAACTCTGTTTCTTTATCTCATCTCAAGCTTGTGTCTGACAGATATACAGCCTCATGTGCCCTCCTTTCAGGTTCTCATGGCCTCCTCAGCCTTGGAGAGAAGATATGCACTGTTTTCTTTCTTTATCTGTTCTTTCCCAGTAAATTTCAAAGATTTCAAGACCTGGTTGACGGTGTGACCATGAGTTACTGCATCAAATTCAACACTGATAATGATGTAAAAAAAAAAAAACTACATTTAAACTGTATTGTTATGGGACTGAATGTATCCATTTGTTTTTAGACAAACAGAAGTACCTCTTTACAGTAATGTCCAAATTCATCCTTGAAGAAGTTCTGGCCGTGTAGAAAATGTCTGACCATGGACTCTCCAGATGGCAGGTTTCCATCCTGATACAAAGAAACAGACTAAATAAGCTTGTTAAAGGGTTAGTTCACCCCAAAATGAAAATTCTGTCATTAATTACTCACCCTCATGTCTTTCCAAACTCGTACGACCTTTGTTTATCTTCGGAACACAAATGAAGATATTTTTGATGAATTCCGAGAGCTTTCTGACCACCCTATACAGACTGCAACGTTATTACCATTTTCAAGGCCCAGAAAGGTAGTAAAGACATAGAATTCTCAGTGCTTCATAACATAAAGGTTGAACCACTGGAGTCACATGGACTATTTTAACAATGTCTTTACTACCTTTCCGGGCCTTGATAGTGAGCATTGCGTTGCTGTCAATGAAGGGGACCAAAAGCTCTCGGATTTCATCAAAAATATCTTTATTTTGTGTTCAGAAGATGAACAAAGGTCTTACGGGTTTGGAATGACGTGAGGGCGAGTAATTATGACATCATTTTTGGGTGAACTATGCGGTGAAGAAACAAACAACAATTGGTGTCCTACCATCTCTACCCACGTGCCTCCGACTGGAATAAACTGGCCTTTCTGCACAAAGAGCTTGATTTCTGAGAACAGACCTGGATACCAGCTCTTCACCCACTGGAACTGTTGTGCCTGCACAAACACATCTGTGGTTTTATCATTTCATTGACATCTATTGCTTTGTACTGAGCTAATTATATATTTTATATCCCTTAACCCTAACATTTTTTTTTGTTGTTGCATGCTTACATTTTAACTATCCATACATTTAGTATGTTTATTAAGCATTTTCAATTGGCTGATGGCCAAAGTCAAGGCAATTCCTTCTAGTTGTACCTAAAAACAAAGAAAATCTGTAACAAAAACGTACTTGGGAGCATGTAAAGACAAACTCTGGGTTCTTCTCCATCAGTCTGATCACAGTGACCCAGCTGCGAGCACACTTCCTGATGGTCTCTTCATACGGCCACAACCAAGCTGAGGATGGGAATGAACAAATTCAACAAGATTTAACATTTCCTATGTACACTACCATTCAAAAGTTTGGGGTCGGTATGATGTTTAATGTTTTTGAGAGAAGTCTCTTATGCTCACCAAGTCTGCATTTATTTAATCAAATACAGTAAAAACAGTAATATTGTGAAATATTATTACAATTTTAACATGACTATCCTATTTTATCACAATTTGAAATGTCATTTATTCCTGTGATGCAAAGCTGAGATTTCAGCATTGTTACTCCAGTCTTCAGTGCCTTCAGAAATCATGCTAATATGCTGATTTTAATAATTTCTAATTATTATCAATGTTAAAAACATTTGTGCTGCTTAATATTTTTGTTGATGCAAACATTTTTTTTTCTGGATTCTTTGATGAATAGAAAAAAAAAACAGCATTTATTTAAAATAGATCTTTTTTTTTAACAATGTCAGTCAGTCTATAATCTGAGTTTTGATCAATGTAATGTGTACCTGCTGAATAAAGTGATAATTGCTTTCAAAAATATAAAAATCTGACCCAAACTTTTAAACATTAGAGTATATTTCCACCTGCCAAAAGCGTCATAATTAAAAAAAAAAAATAACGAAGTGAAGTAATAATTATTTAATATTACCCGAGTCAATATGGCAGTGGCCCATGGCATGGACCACATGTTGGCTTTCCCCATTTTTCTGGGCAAAAAACTTCTGAGCTAGACTTCGAGCAGCAGCAAATGAAGTAGGATTGGCTGGATCGCACAGATTCACCATCTCATTGGCTGTAAACAAGGCCTGGAATCCACGCTGCTCTCCATCTCCTAGTAACTGTGCAAACAGCAAAAAAAAAATTGACTGGGAATGTTTACATTTTTGTTCTACTGTTCACTTTAAAGGCAGGGTAGGCGATTTGTTCCAGAAACATTTTTTGTTTTGCTGGTTGAAAGTCTTTTCACATCCTGATAGCAATCACCAAGTAAAGCGGTTTAAATGTATATGTATATATATCGTCTGTGGAAGGCGTAGTAGGACCATAAAATGTTTGTCCAATCATTGCATTCGGCACCGCAACCGAGCTTTGCAAACTCCGCTGAATGCGTTCATGTGTTTTGAAGAAGGCGTGGCTTTGGAGGGATCTCATGTTTTCAAAGCTAGCTCGCTATTGCTAGCCGCTCCAAAAATTGCCTACCCTACCTTTAACATCACAGTTCAATGTGAAAATACCTTGACAATGTCCACAAGCATCTCAAAGTCGGTGAGAAGCTCCCTAACATCTCGATTGAAAACAACAAGCTCGGCCTTCTGGAGAGTGAACTTCCTCTTTGGGTCGGGGGCGGCAATCATGGAACCTTGTCCGGCTCCAAAAAGTCCATTACACGCAAGTTCCACGTATAGGGTAATGCTTAAATATGAGATTAAAACATTAAAATGGAAGCAAATGTATATCAGGTTTGGAGTCAGACTTTAGATTTCCACTAACCCATGAGGTTCACTGTCCTTCAAGCACTCGGTCAGAATATAGCTGGTCTTCTCACCTTCTTTGGTCAAACCCTGAAAAAAAATTCACAATGCGTGAACTCTTAAATGTTAAATGTCATTCATGAGATCATGATCTGGTCTTGGGTTTCCACACCTGAACTGGTTGGTGATCCCGCCACACCATACCCTCTCCATCGCTCTCCCATCTCAAATGGACCTCCTTCTCTTTCCAGGCCTCAGGGATCTTCAAGACCACTTTGAACCAGCACGTCCACCACCTGCCAAACATGTTTAGTCAATACACTAGTGCTATACAGTTTGTTGGACAGTAAACATTTACACAACTTACGTGGGTCCGAATGCATCGCCAACGTTACAAGGCTGAAAGTTTTGCTGGATGGCCTCTGAATAAGGAATTCTCTTCTCCGACAGGAACGCAGTGATGGACTCAAGTGGATGAGTGTCTCCAAACAGTCTGCAGTGAATGAGAGTGTTTACATCACTGCTCATAACAAACTACCAAACAAGGTCAAAGGTCTTTCATTAACCTTCAATAACTTGTTTACAAGAAAGAAACACAAATATTCATTATTTAAAGACTTATTAAGTACAAATAGTTCGTTTAACATTAAAACTGATAAGTGAATTTGCATGAACACTAATAATTAAATATCAAACAGAAGTGCACTGGCTTACCTTCCTCTAAGATTGCAGTCTGTGAAATATATATCGGAGATAAACTTCTCCGCTCGCTCCAGTAGAGTCCGTCTGTTTTTCAGCACGGGTTGGTGGTACATGATTAAAAACGAATGTAGTTATATGAATGAACATATCAGCTCCAGACGCGTCTCTGTATTAGCACCCGGAAGTACTTTGACAATAACAATAATCTGTAAATGCCGTGATAAACACTAGAGGACGCCATTGCACCATGTGTTCTTTTCTTTTACTGTCTATGCCTTTTTTTTACAGTCTATGGTCTATGCCGGTCTATGCACGTGTTTCCAAAAATATAAGCATGGCCGGTGTCATGAGAAATCGAGTCCCCTCTTAGATTATACTTGTACATACGAACGATATTAATTTAAAATATGTATAGCTTAATAGTGCATAATAAATCAAATTGAACGTAATTTCTATCACTTGATAAACTGTTACAATAATAATCTAATAATAAGTCTATTAAGTTAATAATTTAACATTATTATTCTTTTAATAGGCTAACTGAAATATTTGGGCATTTAACACTAAAATTAACACGTAATTAAGCCTACATTTAAAATTATTGTGAATAAATGTAGGGTAAGTATATAATGCATGCATTTATAAACTAAGCTATCAGGCTATCGGGTATCTGTATGCTATATTCCATCTGTCTATTTATCTATCTATGAGTAAATCTATCTATCTATCTATCTATCTATCTATCTATCTATCTATCTATCTATCTATCTATCTATCTATCTATCTATCTATCTATCTATCTATCTATCTATCTATCTATCTATCTATCTATCTATCTATCTATCTATCTATCTATCTATCTATCTATCTATCTATCTGTGTCTGTGGCATGTTTGCCAAGGAGACAACGTTGTCAGTGAAGAGCTTGATATGAAATAGAAATGTGATGTGTGAATATAGAACAAAGAGAAGGTAAATATCACAATATTTGTATTGTTTGTCCAAATGTTTTTATGTATTTCTAATTTGTATGATTGTTTTCAATATATATTTCAAATTATATTAGTAAACATATAATAATATGAAATAATATTAATAACATAGGCTAATTAATAATTATTATTCTCTTCTGTGATTGAGGTTTATAGCAGGTGTTATAGCGTTTAACCACAAATCTAAAAGGGAGGCGAGAGTCGGACACCTGCTATAAACCAATAAAGCTCATTTGTTATTACAGTTTTTCTCCATTGGTTTGGCTCATTTCTTGAAACAGAAATTACATTCTCAAAACAACATGGACAAACCTCCAAACCACTTGGCAATTGTTCACAACAGAATTGAATTTCTCATTCATTTCATCAAATTGCAAATGTCTAAGTACATGTCTCAATGTCTCAGTACATCTTTGCAAATGATTAAGTACAGGTAGCCTACATTTAGCACAATTTCCAAGTGAATAGATCTTGTTGATCTAAACTGATTGTTGATTCTCAGTCTAATGGTTGTTCACTCCAAAACGTGTCAGCGTCATTTCATTGTATAAGTCATCACATGCACAATAGTCTGTTCAATTGTCAAAATTAGTCAAGAACATAATACCATGAATACCATATATGAATCCCTTGGAACATTTGATAAATTTATTGCAGCAATTGACAGTCAGGTGAAACTAACTTGACTAACAAAGGAGTTTCACACATCTCAGATGACCAATCAAACAGTATGTTTAGTTACCTGACAGGTGCTGTCCATGACTGTGAATGCTGCCAAACATGTAAAGAGCTTGACTATGCAGGACCAGTACAGTTTATGAACATGGAGGCACCTGGCCAAGTAAATGAACAAGGGCAACTGTCTGCTCGAGGAGGAGGAGGAGGAGGAAGAAGAAGAAGGAGGAGGAGGAGGAGGAGGAGGAAGAGAAAGGGTGCGTGGTGGTGGAATAGGGGGAAGAGGCAGAGGAGCACGAAGACACCATGGACTATAGAGTACGGTGGCCAGGAGAGGGAGGGTGAGGACAGCGACCAGTGAAGAACTGTTAGTTGTGAAACTCCAGCTTTATTTACAGCACTGTAGGCTGCATATCATTTTCATTGTTTTTTGTTTGTGTGTCTATATTACAATATATTATGCTGTATACATTTTCTTTTTACTCTGATGTATGGAAGTTACTTTATGTGTGTGAATGATCATGGTTACAATTTCCTTGGCAGTATGAGTGTGTGATGTCAAACCTTAGATGTCAAACTCTTACCCTAAAATCCTATTTCTTTTTTTCAGTTTTATACACAATTGTATTCTGTTAGCTAGACTAAAAACAGTATAGTAACCATTGCCAATAAAGGACTAGGCTAAGGCTGAAAGGTGGACATGGGGGATATTTCAATGGTCCTCTGCATAGTGACAAAACATCTAAACATTTTGACTTGCAGGGCTTACACAATGCCATAGGGACGAAGCATTTTGGGGGCACTGACTGTTTAAATAAGAAAGAAATTTAGTTTTGACACATGAGTGAACTGTTTTGGGAGAGGTATGAGCTTTTGCAGGTGAACCATGGTGTTGTGCTGAACTGTAAGTCTGTTTTGCCAAATGATCTTAGAGTTTTGAGAATGTAATTTCTGTTTCAAGAAATGAGCCAAACCAATGGAGAAAAACTGTAATACCCCATGTCTATTGTCTACAGTTTTTAGTTAATCTGTGATATTTTTTTTATTTTTTGGCCTGTGTAAAAAGAGAAATATTATCCATCTAATGATCTTATTCTTATGTCAGAAACTGATTGTAGCACTAAAACCTAAATAATTTCATACTTCTCTATAGTCTTAAACAAAAAGTCTGCACAAGCTGCTTATTTGCTAATCTAAGTCGTTTATTGTCATTTAAAGCAGCAAAAAATAAAATAAATGTTTCTTCTGCTACTTTAAATTTAATAGGATTTTTTTTTTTTTTTTGCTGCTTTAAATGACAATAAACTACTTAGATTTGCAAATAAGCAGCTTGTGCAGACTTATTGTTTAAGAAGACTATAGAGAAGTATGAAATTATTTAGGTTTTAGTGCTACAATCAGTTCATTTCTGACATAAGAATAAGATCATTAGATGCTTTGGAGTTGAACGCCTTAGCTGGAACAATTTTTGAAAACTAAGATTATGTTATCATGGGGAGAAGATTTTGAATATTTTTAGTCAAAATTAAGTACTTCATTTTCATATAATAGTAGTAATAAAAGATTAAAGTTCTACACATGGCAATTTGCATAATAAATATACTAAATAATTTTATATTATTAAAATGTTAAAATAATATAAATAATGCCAAAAATACTATTTATTTCTTTTTTTATTGGGTCAATTTATTAGCAGCACAAAAAACATCACAGCACATATAGTTCACAATACCAAAACACTTTAAGACAGTTTTAAGACCAATGAGGAAAAATACAATGAAAAGTAACACCTCAAAATTCATGTGCACACAACTAACCCACATACAATAAATCCAAATCACATTCTGTCGCCTTTCTTTTCACATTTTCCATCAGAGGACAGTCTATTTCCAGATTCAGTGAGTGCTAAAGAGAATACAAAGGCTGTTAACTGGAAAATCACAAAGATTCTTCAGTCAGTCAACTTCAACAGACCGGTTAACCAGCTTAACCAGCCTAGAACAGCATTGGAACTGGTATAAGCAAAACCCACTGGCTTATGGAAATATGGACTTTATTTGCTTATGTCATACAGAAATCACAGCTTAAAAGATCTCCAAAGTCATATCATAATCAATATGATAATTCTTGAATAATCATATTTCTCAGTCGACTCAGGCTACATCTACACGAATCCGGATACATTTGAAAATGCATCTTTTTCTCTGGGCATCTACATGACACAGGGTTTAACTAAAAATGTAAACCTTTTATGCGTTTTGGCCGTTCACGAAAACGCCGCTTTGGGAGCCTGAAAATGCACACTTTTCAAAACGAGTTTCAAAGTGCAAGTTTTTGAAAAGATACCGTTATCGTCTCAGAGTAAACAACAAAAAGGCGTATTTGTGAAAACGGTGACGTCATACACACGTGTTCAGTTTATAGTAGCTTTGTCTTTACAATGTAAAATCGCCAACTACTGGTCTGGCATGAAAAATACAGCGTTTTTAGTCGGTCTTGCAGATCCATGTGAACCGAGATCGTTTTGTCAACGTTTTCAACTTTTCAAAAAACACAAAGAAAAAACTTTTCGGTTTTTAGTACATCGTTGTCGTGTAAACGTACCCTATGTTTTGGCCTTCCACCCACATTGAGACAGTGCTTTTGTCATGTGAAAACTGAGCTTTTTGAAGACACTAAAGTGGGTGTATTTTTAAACAGAGGTATTTGAAATCAATTATCTTTAGGCTACATCTACATTAGTTCATATACAGCGTTTTCATTTCAAAATGCTCTCTGTCCACACTAGGGTTTTTAAGCATTTTCCAAAAGTTTCTTGTCCACACTGAAACGTCGGAAGACGAGTGCATTTTCTGTCACCTTTACAGGAATGTAATAAGAAGATCGTACAAAGTAACATTTAATAACATTTTTAGCAAGACTGTGAAAGTGACCGGTATAAACATCACATATCGATACAATATGCATCACATGACAAAACGTGCCATCGTTTTCAAAAACCTCAGTTTTCACAGTCCACACTATAATACAAAATCTGCATTTTTAAATTGATCCACTTGGGCGAATGTCTTTAAAAAGCTCAATTTTCAGAGGACGATGCTGTCTCAGTGTGGATGGAAGGTCTAAAACTAGAGAAAAAAATGAATTCACACCATGTCGTAATTACGTTACTTCGAAATGACAACAGGTGAGAGAGCTGTGGGAACAGAGCGAGGCCGGTGGCGTGATTGCTAATGAGCCTCAAGTGTCTCACAGTGGAGCTCCGGATGGATAAAAAGAGGAATGACAACAGTGAAGAGCGAGAGAGGACCAGGCCTGGACAATTTTACGTTGTGTTTTGTTTATGTTTGTGCGGCAGTAGTCCATGAGGGGCTGCCGCTTTTATTTATTTTATTTTGTGCTTGTTTATTTTATATTAAAATTTACATTGAATGTTCGCCGGTTCCGCCTCCTTAACTGAACTAAGACATTAGACATAAGACATTTAGGTTATTTGACGCGTACGATCACACCGGTGTGATTA